AAGACATTTGCATGCCAGAGGGTAAGAAATAAACCCAACAAAAATTCAGGGGCCTTCCATCTCAGTGAAATTTCTGGGATTGCAGTGGTTTGGAGCCTGTTGAAATAACCCTTCTAAGGTACAGAATAAGTTATTAATTCTGGCCCCTCCTACAACTAAAAAGGAAGCACAACACAACACCTAGTTGGCCTCTTTGGATTTTGGAAGCAACATATTCCTCATTTGGTTGTGCCAGTCCATCCTATTTACTGAGGGGCCCCAAAAGCTGTTAATTTTGAGTGGCCCAGAACAAGAGAAGGTTCTGCAACAGGTTCAGGTTGCCATGCAAGCTATTCTGCCACTTTGGCAATATGATCTGGTTTATCCAGTGGTGGCTGAAATGTCAGTAGATAGAGATACTCTTTGGAGTTTTTGACAGGCCCCAATTGGTGAATCATAGCACAGACCCTTGGGAATTTGGAGGAAAGAAATGCCATTCTCTGCAGATAATTATTCTCCTTTTGAGAAACACTTTTGACGTACTACTGGCCCTTAGTAGAAATTGAATACTTAACCATGGGCCACCAAGTTAATATGCAACCAAATATGCCATCATGAACTGAGTGTCATGCTAAAAATATCATCTGTGGATTTAAAGAATCCCTTAACCACAATCCACAAAATCATAAATTTGGGCATGCACAGCAATATTCCATCATCAAACGTAAGTGGTATATATAAGATTGGGCTAGAGTGGGACCTAAAGAAAAAAATAAGTTACATTAGGAAGTGTCCCAAAAGCCCATAATCCCCACTCTTGCTACATAACTTTCTCTCACCAAGCCTGGATTAATAGCCTGATGGGAAGTCCCCTAAAATCAACTTACACAGGTTCTCTTTAATAAGAAGGCACCACTTGAAAGTGAGCAAGACTTCCCTAAAGGACTGAAGAGAAGGGAAAGCCTCACAGTGGGCACAACTTCGAGCAATGCACATAGTTGTTAGTTTCACTTGGAAAAAGAAATGGTCAGAGGTATGAATATATATTAATTTTTATGCTGTGGCCAGTTCTTTGGCTGGATATTCAGGGACTTGGAAGGAACATGGTTGAAAAATTATGACAATGAAGTCTGGGGAAGAGCTATGTGGATAGATCTCACTGCATGCACGAAGCATGTAAAGTTATTTCTTTCCCATGTGAATGCTCACCAAAGGGTGACTCAGAAGGACAGGAGGATTTTAACAATTAAGTGGATAGAATGATGTGGGTATCAGTCAGTGTCTTTTCCCAGCCACTCTTGGTCTTGGCCAATAGGCTCATTAGCAAAGTGGCTGTGGTGGAAGGGATAGAGGTTATGTGTGGATCAGCAACATGGACTTCTACCCATTGTGGTTGACCTGGCTATAGCCACAGCCAAATGCCCAATCTGCCAGCAGAAGTCCTTGATGCTGTACCATCTTCCAGGGTGATCAGCCACCAAGGTGGTAACAGGTTGATTACACTGGACCACTTCCATCATGGAAGGGGCAGTGTTTTGATCTTGCTGGAACAGAC